CCACCCTTCAGCCAAAGATTAGACAGGCCCATAAAACAAAACAAGACTAATGGGGCATAACAGCCCAGGGATGAGGACTAGAAGGCAGGAGGGGACAGGAAATCTGATAACAGGGAACCCAAGGTCAAGAAGAGAGAGCATTGACATGTTGTGGGGTTGTTAACCAGTGTCATAAAACAATATGTGTACTGTTTAATGAGAAACTATTTGATCTGTAAACCTTCATCTAAAGAACAATAAAAAAATTAAAAACAAACAAAAAAAGAAATGAAATGGAGGACATTACAACAGACCCAACTGAAATAAAAACGATCATAACAGAGTACTATGAAAAACTGTACTCCAACAAATCAAAAATCTAGAGGAAATGGACAACTTTCTAGAAACACACTACCTACCTAAACTAATACAAACTGAGGTAGAAAATCTGAACGGACTCATAAGAAGAGAAGAGATTTAAAAGGTTAAAAAATAAATAAATAAATAAATAAAACTCCCAACAAAAAAAGTCCTAGCTCAGATGGCTTCACTGGAGAATTCTTCCACACATTCAGAGAAGAGCTCACACCAGTACTACTCAAATGATTTCAAAATACAGAAAAGGAAGGGATACATCTAAATTCATTCTATGAAGCCAGCATAACCCTGATACCAAAACCAGGCAAATAAACCACAAAAAAAGAAAATGATAGACCAATATCTCTCATGAATATAGATGCAAAAATTCTGAAAAATTCTAGCCAATAGAATTCAGCCTCATATTAAAAAAAAAAAAAAATGACACAACCAAGTGGGAGTCATACCAGGTATGTAAGGATGGTTCAACATTAGAAAATTAATCAACGTAATCCACCACATAAATAAAACAAAAGAATCACACGATCATCTCAATTGATGCAGAAAAGGCATTCGATAAAGTTCAACACCCATTCCTGATAAAAACTCTCAATGAAATAGGAATAGAAGGGAAATTCCTCAACATAATAAAGGGCATCTATACAAAAGCCAATGCCAACATCATTCTCAACAGAGAGAGGCTGAAAACATTCCTCCTGAGAACATGAACCAGACAAGGATGGTTCCTTTGTCACCACTCCCATTTAACATTGTCTGGAAGGCCTAGCTAGAACAATAAGGCAAGAAAAGAAAAAAAAAAAAAAAGGTATCCAAATTGGTAAGGAAGAAGTAAAACTATCCCTATTAGCAGATGATATGATATTATCCAGGAAAAATAAATAAATAAATAAAATCACTGCTGTCAAGTTGGTTCCGACTCATAGTGACTCTAAAGGACAGAGCAGAACTGCCCCATAGGACTTCCAAGGAGCAGCTGGTGGATTCAAAGTGCTGATCTTTTGGAAGCAGGTGAACTCTTTAATCACTGTGCCATCAGGCCTCCATACTATACATAGAGAACCCAAAAGAAAACTACTGGAACTAATAGGAAGATTCAGCAGAGTAGCAGGATATTAGATAAACAAAAAAATCAGTTGGATTCTTACACAGCGATAAAGAAAACTACGAAAAGGAAATCAGGAAAGCAATACCACTTATAATAGTCCCTAAAAAAACAGAATACTTAGGAATAAATCTGACCAGGGACATAAAAGACCTATACAAAGAAAACTACAAAACACTACTGCAAGAAACCAAAAGAGACCTACATAAGTGGAAAAACATACCATGGGGCTCATGGATAGGTGGACTCAACATTGTGAAAAAGTCAATTCTACCCAAAGCAATCTACAAATACAATGCAATCTCGATTCAAATACCAACAGCATTCTTTAATGAGATGGAAAAACTAATCATTAATTTATATGGAAAGGAAAGAGGACTCAGATAATTAAAGCATTATTGAAGAAGAAGAACAAAGTAGGAGGCCTTGCACTCCCTGACCTCAGAACCTACTATGCAGTTATGGTAGTCAAAACAGCCTGGTACTGGTACAACGACCGACACACTGACCAATGGAACAGAATCAAAAACCTACATGTAAATCCATCCACCTATGGTCACCTGATCTTTGATAAAGGTCCAAAGTCCATTAATGGGGAAAACAGTCTTTTTAACAAATGGTGTTGGGGAAACTGGATGTCCACCCGTAAAAAAAATGAAATAGGACCCATTTCACACCATATACAAAAACTAATTCAAAATGGATCAAAGACCTAAATATGAAACCAAAACTATAAAGATCATGGAAGAAAAAATAGGGTCAATGCTAGGGGCCCTAATATATGGCATAAATAGGATACAAACCATAACTAACAATACACAAATACCAGAAGATAAGCCAGATAACTGGGATATTCTAAAAATTAAACACTTATGTTCATCAAAAGATTTCACTAAAAAAGTAAAAGGAGAATCTACAGACTGGGAAAAAATTTTTGGCTATGACATATCTGACAAAGGCCTAATGTCTAAAATCTATAGGAAAATCCAACACCTCTACAACAACAAGACGAATAATCCAGGTAAAAAAATGGGCAAAGGATATGAACAGACACTTCACAGAAGAAGACATTCAGGTGGCTAACAGACACATGAGGAAGTGCTCACGATCATTAACCATTAAACAAAATCAATGAGTCAATTCTGACTTTTAGCAACCCTATAGGACAGAGTAGAACTGCCCCATAGGGTTTCCAAGGAACGGCTGATAGACTCAAACTGCTGACCTTTTGGTCAGCAGCTATAGCTCTTAACCACTATGCCACAAGGGCTCCCATTAACCATTAGAGAGCTGTAAATCAAAAGTTCATTGAGATACCATCTCATCCTAACAATACTGGCACTAATCCAAAAAACACAAAATAACAAATGTTGGAGAGGTTGAAGGGAGATTGGAACTCTTTTGCACTGCTGGTGGGAATGCAAAATGGTACAACTATTTTGGAGAATGATATGGTGCTTCCTTAAAAAGCTAGAAACAGAAATACCATATGATCCTGCAATCCCACTCCTAGAGAAATAAGAGCCGTCACACATACAGACATATGAACACCCATGTTCACTGCAGCATTCCTCACAATAGCAAAAAGATGGAAACAACCTAAGTGCCCATCAACAGATGAATGGATAAAGAAACTATGGTACATACACACAGCGGAATACTACACAAGGATAAAGAACAAGGACGAATCTGCGAAGCATCTCACAACATGGATGAATCTGGAGGGTATTATGCTGACTGCAGTAAGATAATCACAAAAGCACAAATACTATATGTGACCACTATTATAGAAACTCATGAAAGAAACAATCTTTGATGGTTATGAGGGAGGGGAGGGATGAGGAGGAAAAAATACTAACTAGACAATAGATAAGTGATAATTTTGGTGAAGGGTAAGACAGTACACAATACTGGGGAGGTCAGCACAACCTGACCAAGGCAAAGTCACAGAAGCTTCATAGACACATCCAAACTCCCTGAGAGAACGAGTGCTGAGGGCTGGGGATCATGGTCTCAGGGGACACCTAGCTCAACTGGCATAACATAGTTTATAAATAAAATGTTCTACATCCTACTTTGGTGAATAACGTCTGGGGTCTCAAAAGCTTGTGAGCGGCCATCTAAGATACTCCACTGGTCCTACCCTGTCTGGAGCAAGGGAGAATGAAGAAAACCAAAGACACAAGGGAAAGATTAGTCCAAAGGACTAATGGACCACAACTACCACAGCTTCCACCAGACTGAGTCCAGCACAATTAGATGGTGCCGGGCTACTACCAACAACTGCTCTGACAGGGATCACAATAGAGGGTCCTGAACAGAGTGGGAGAAAATTTAAAACAAAATTCTAATTCACAAAAAAAAGACCAAACTTACTGGTCTGATAAAGACTGGAGAAATCTCGAGAGGATGGACCCTGGGCACCCTTTTAACTCAGTACTAAAGTTACTCCTGAGGTTCACCCTTCAGCCAAAGATTAGATAGGCCCATAAACAGTAACACACGTAGTTCAACCATGTATGCAAGACTAAATGGGCACACCAGCCCAGGGGCAAGGAGGAGAAGGCAAGAGGGGACAGGAAAACTGGACAAATGGAAATGGGGAATCCAAGGTCGAGAAGGGGAGAGTGTTGACATGTTGTGGGGTTGGCAACAAACATCACAAAACAATATGTGTATTAATTATTTAATAGAAACTAATTTGCTCTGTAAACTTTCACCAAAAGCACAATAAAACAAAAATTAATAAAATAACAGAAGAAGATCCAGAAAAAATGGAGAAGCAGCAGACATGAGTGGAAGAGAATCAGGAAAATATACTGTCACAAAAGCTTAGAGAAGATACAGTTTCAATAAGGTAAAGAAGAGGAGTCAGTAGAACCAGGTGATGCAGAGTTCAAAGAGAATGGACAGAGAGTACAACACGTGATTTTTCAGTTAGGAATTTCTTAGTGACCACCCTGACACAGATTTCATTATAGTGGTGAGGATGGAAGCCAGACTGCAAAGGCATGAAGGGTGAGTATGAGGAAATGCAGGCAGTGAAGACAGTTAGAGAAGGAAGACTATAGGCAAAGAAGAGGAACTTCAGAAAAAAGAGAGTTAGAAAATAATAAATGGAGGATATAACTAATAGGGAAAAGTTCTGAAAGAAGTGGAAAGATGAAGGGTTTAACTCCAGAAAGGAATGATATGCCTAAAGAAACACACTCCATTGCCCTAACAGAATTTGGTCCTGGTCAGTCAGGACCCCCCTGACCTTGTGCTAGCCACAGCCAGAAGGCCTAAGTTTCCTCATCTGTAAAATGTAAGCTTGCCCTAGGTAATATCTAAAGTTTTTAATAGTTACAATATTTCATGATTCTAAATTAATATTGCTTGTTATTTTTATTCTTTTCTTCTGGTTCAAGATTTCTTAGTGTTGTGTTGCCTTATGAGTATGCTTATTATTTCTGAACCAATATCTAAACTTGAGATTTTCTAACCTGGCAGAAAAGACATGAGATGAACAACGTGCCGTTTTTTTTTACCAGCAGCTTACCTCTCTTCATTGTTCTCCATCTGATTAGGGAAAGCAGCAAAATCTAGTAGTAATTTAATGGCATCAAGGTATCCATTGTTACAGGACCAATGTAAAGCTGTTCTTCCCTACAAGTAAGAATAAAAAATCAAGTACATCTGGAGTAAGTGTTTTTGGACATATGTTACTTTTGCTAACTCAAAAATATAAATAATTCTCCCCTAAACTGCTTCATTACAAAAGAAAAAATATTAAGTATAAAGTGGAAAAAATGGATGGCGTTGTAACCAAGTGATCAAAATTAACACTACCTCAAGGGGCATCATATGCCTCTAGGACAACCTGAGAATCATTGAATACCACTTGTGTAATATTCAAAACAAAAATGTAAAACCTGTATTTAATTATGAGGAAACATAGGACAAACCCAAACTAAGTAAGATTCTATAAAATACATGGCCTATATTCTCAAACAATTTCAGTGTCATGAAACATAAAGAAGTAAGGTGTGAAGCATTGCTAGAGATAAAGAGGATATTTCGTAATGTTAAGGAGTCAAAGAGGAAAATATCACAATCCTAAATCTGTATGTACCTAATAACATAAATATATAAGGTAAAACTGACAAAACTAAAAGGGGAGATAGTGAAATCCATAATCATAGTCAGAGACTTTAACTTATCTTTTACAATAGTTGATAGAACAAACAGACAAAAGAACGTAAAGATATAGAAGACTTGAACAATACAATTAACAAATTTGGCCTAAGTGACGTATACAGAACACTGCATCCAACAAGGACAGAATTAGCACTCTTTTCAAGTGTACATGGAACACTTACCAAAATCAGCCATATACTGGACCATAAAGAAAGTTTCAAAATACTCCAACAAAAGATCGAAGGAATTCAGACTATCTTCTGATGACACTAAAATTTAGCCAGAAATCTGTGTGGTAGGCAGAGTAATGAACACTTCCTCCCACCAAAGACGTCCTTGTCATAATCCCTGGAACCTGTGACTATCTTATGTTATATGGCAAGAGGGAATTAAGGCTGCAGATAGAATTAAAATTGAAAGTCAGGTGACCTGTAGATGGGGAGATTATCCTGGATTATCAAGGTGGGCCCAATGTAATCACAAAGATCCTTATAAGGGAAAGAGGAAGTAGGAGGGTGAGCATCAGTGATGCAGCATGAGAAAGACTGGACCAGTCCATTGCTGGCTTTGCAGATGGAGGAATGGGGTCATAAGCAAAGGAATGTGGGCAAAAGTCAAGGAAACACTGTCCCCTTGAGCCTCCAGGAGGAATACATACAACCCTGTGACACCTTGATTTTAGAGAGATCCACTTTGGACTTTTGACATGCAGGACAGTCAGATAATAAATTTGTGTTCTTTAAAGACACAAAGTTTGTGGTAATTTGTTAAATCAACAGTAAGAAATTAATACAATCAGTAATAAGATAATGAGAAAATGCCCAACTTCCTGGAAATTAAACAATCTACTTCTAAATAATTCATTGGTCAGAATAAATCAAAATAGAAATTAGAAAATATTTGAACTGAATAATAGTGATGGTAAAACTTATCAAAACTTGTAGGATGTAGTTAAAGCAGTGCTTAGAAGAAGTATGCTTAAATGAACATATTATAAAAGAATGGTGAAAAATCAACAATTTAAGATTTCATCAAAAGAATCGAAAAAAAGAATAGCAAGTTAAACCTGAGGAAACTGGATGGCAGGAAGTAATAAAGATAGAAGTAGATACCAATGAAATAGCAAAGAAACTTAAAATATAGAAAATCGACAAAGACAAGTTCTTTGAAAACATGAATATGTAAGAAGGAAAATTAAACAAGAAGAGGAATAAATGCATTATCAATATATGGAATGAATAAGAGGAAATTAATACAGATCTACAGAGATCAAAAAGATAATAAGAGGATATATGACCAGCTTTATGCAAATATATTTGACATTTTGAATAAAATGGATAAATCCCTAAAAAAAAAATTAAACTTACCAAAGCTGAAAGGAAAATAATTAGAAAACCTGAAGAGACTTATAACTATTAATGGAATTGAATCAGTTATTAACAACTTTTGTACAAAGAAAACCCTAAAACCAGATGCTTTTACCAGGGAATTCTTCCAAATATTTAAGCAAAAAGTAACACCAATCTTACACAAACTCTTCAGAGAAGAGAAAAAGAAGAACTACTTCCCAACTTCTTACAAGGTCAGCAGAACCTTGTTACCAAAACCTGACAAGTACAATACAAGAAAGGAAAATTAGAGGCCAATCTCTTTCATGAATATAGATGTAAAAATCTTAAGCAAAACATTAGCAAATAGAATCTATCAGTATATAAAAAAACATGATTCATCATAAATGGGGCTTATTTCAGGAATGCAAAGGTGGCTTAAGATCTGAAAAATCAATTAATGTAGTCAATCAATGTAATTCACCATATTAACAGAAAAAAGGGGAAAAATAATATTATCATGTTGGTAGATACAGAAATAGTATCTGACAAAAATGAAACACATACCATGATTGAAAAAAAAAAAAACAACTACAAAGTCTTAACTAGAAATATAAAGGAACCTATAGCAAACATTGGAAACCCTGGTAGCATAGTGGTTAACAGTTCGGCTGCTAACCAAAAGGTCGGCAGTTGAAATCCACCAGGTGCTCCCTGGATACCCTATGGGGCAGTTCTACTCTGTCCTATACGGTCACTATAGGGTCACTATGAGTTAGAATCGACTTGATGGTAATGGGTTTTTTTGTTTTTATAGCAAACATCACACTGAATGGTGAAATATTAAAAGCTTTTCCCTTGAAGTCGAGAATAATTTAGGAAGTCAGCTATCACCAATACTGTTTAACATTGCATTGTAGGTCCTAGCTAATGCAATAAAGCAAGACAAAGAAACGAAAGGCATAAGAATTGGGAAGGAAGAAATAAAAATTTCAATTATTCACAAATGACATGATTGCTTATGTAGATAATCCAAAACAATATACAGAAGAACTTAATATATTACTTATGTAAGAAACTTGCAACATGGTGAAATATAAAAGCCACTACACAGACTATAAAGGTCCCTGGGTGGTGCAAATGGTTTGCTCTTGGCTACTAACCAAAAGATTGGTGGTTCGAACCCACCCAGCATGGCTGTGGAAAAAAAGCCTGGTGATCTGCTTTGGTAAAGATTACAGCCAAGAAAACCCTATGCAGCTCAGTTCTTCTCTATTACAATAGGGTTGCCATGAGTGGGAAGTGACTTCATGGCAACAGGTTTGGTTTACAAACTATAAAAGATGTATCCCTAATTTCCGTGAGGACAAGGACCATATCTTACATATTTTTCATTATCTTACTTTTACATATAATAAAATTCTTGATAAATCATTTGTTGAATGAGGTCCCTGGGTAGTGCAAATGATTTGGAAATCAAACATGCTAGTATTTTTAAAAAGTTAAAGTAATTAAAATAGCAAAAAAAATTAATACTAGCTAAATTGAGAGAAAATAATACATTCCTATATAGCTGAGGGAAGTACAGATTAACCCACATCTTTTAGAAATCAGTTCAGCAGTATATATCAGAGGCTAATCATATTCATACCATTTGTTGCTTTAATTCAGTCATATAAGGAAATAATCCTCCCAAAAGTTACATGGATAAAGATGATTAATATAACATTCTATAATAGTAATAAAGCATTAAAAACAGGAAGTTACTTATTTAATTCTAAAAATTTGGGTTAAAGGCATAGTTTGGATACTGACTCCTCAACTTAGTAACTATCACCTCAGGCAAATTACTTAAGCTTCATAAGCTTTAATTTCCTCATCTGTAAAATGTGAGTAATAACAGTAACTATATTATAGGGTTGCTGTGAGGAACAAATGAGTTATTACATATAAAGCTCTTAAAATTTAGGATATTAAGTATTCATGCTTATGAAAAAGAGTATATATCAAATGGAAAAATGTTGACAATCTGAGGTAGACAAAACATGTTTGTAAAATCATGTTTATATGTGTGTGTACACACACACACACCCCTCTGCCCTGTATATATATTTTATAATTTTATAAAAGTTAGAAAATTATTCCCATTCTGTATTGTAGCTATATTAAATTACATATGGATATAGACAAAGACTGGATGAGATAATCATGGACAAATAAAAATCATTTACGACAGATGGATTTCTGGGTGATCACTTAGTAAGCTGTTGTTTTACAACAAAGAAGAAATACTCTAAACATTCTGAGAAAACTTAATTGAATTGAAAAGACCTGGGATTTCTACCTCTTTGTCTTGAATGTTAGGGTCTGCATTATTTTCCATGAGTACTGCCATACAGTTGATATATCCTCCATATGCAGCACACTGCAAAGGGGTTCTTCCTGCATAATCTTGCACATTTGGATTGATTTTATTTTCTATCAGTATCTGGCAAACATCAGCATTTCCTCCCAGTGCCGCCCAGTGTAGAAGAGAATGTCCATCTTGGTCAACTAGATCTACCCTTGCTCCACCTGGAAAAGCAACAATATAATGAAAATATCTAACATATGGAGCAATTATAAAAAAAGAATAGAAATCATTCCTCAAAAAGTTAAACATAGAATTACCACATGACCCAGCAATTCCACTTCTAGAAATAATATACCCAAAAGCAGGGACTCAAACACATACTTGCACACCAGCATTCATTGCAGCATTGTACACAACAGCCAAAAGATGGAAACAATCCAAATGCCCATCAACAAATGAATAAACAAAATGTGGTATATACACACAACAGAATATTATTCAACCATAAAAAGGAATGAAGTTCTACTACAATATGGATGAATCCTGAAAACATGCTGAGTGAAATAAGCCAGACCAAAAGGACAAGAATTGTATGAATTCAAGTATGCGAATTATCTAGAACAGGCAATTTCTTAGAAGCAGAAAGTAGATGATAGGTTAGCAGGGGTAAAGGGGTGGGAACAATGGGGAATTATTGCTTAAATAGGTACAGAGTTTCTGTTTGGGGTGATGGAAAAGTTTTGGAAATAGATGGTGGTGATGATGGCACAACATTTTGAACATAATACCACTGAATTGTACACTTAAAAAGGTTAAAATGGCAAATTTTATGTTATACATATTTTACTACAATAAAAAAAAAGAAGTCAAAAAATATAACAACAGTCCAGTACCATTAGCAAAATACTTCCAACATACATTATCTATTTCAGATTTTTATAATAAGTCTGTGATTTCTTCAGGGTATGAATCATTCTCATTTTATACAAAATGAAACTGAGAATCAGAGAGGTGAACTGACTTTTCCAAAATGAAACAACTATCAAAAGGTGGAGCCAGGAGTAGAATCTGCATTTCCTGATGTCCTGCTGGAGCCCTTGTGGCGCAGTAGTCAAGCATTCATTTTATCCTGTCCTATAGGGTTGCTGCGAGTCAGAATCGACTTGATGGCAATGTTTTTTTTTTTTTTCTGTCCTATTACCCACTTGACCTCTTTGATACGTAAAGTTTTATTTTAAACTGAGCTTGCAAGAATGCTTACATTTTGAGAGTGACTTATTATAAGCACTCTTAACAACTAACCTTTAATAAGTGTCTGAATCACTTCTTTATGTCCCATCTCACAGGCTCGGAAAAGTGGAGTATGTTTCATAACATCAGTAGCATCTACTTGAGCATTATTTTCCAATAATAGCTTCACGGTGCTTACATGGCCAGAAAGGGCGGCAGCATGCAAAGCTAAAAAGGAAACAAAAGAAAAGACAAATTCTTTAATAACAACTTTGCCTTTTTCTTGTTCTAATTATATATCTTTTCCTCTTTTGATTTGCTCATCATTTTGGCGAAATGCAATCTAATCTTCAAGATTTTCTACTTTATTTCTCACTTTTGTAGATTTCTTGTTTCCTTCCTATGCATATGTAACACTCATACTTTCTTTCCTTTTACCTTTCTTATCTCACTGTTTTCTTGTTGTTCTGAAATGGTATCCTCTTCTCAGTTACTAGTTTATTATCTTTTCCTCTTTCTAAGACAGCAAGAGAAAAAATAATGACAAAAATAAAATGATTTAAACAGTGCAGACAATTCTGCCTACCACTCCACTCAAATACACAGTCGTATGATTAGAAACTTCGGTCTACTGTTCCTTATCGCTTTGGTTGCTTGTGCTGCTGCCTTGGTGGTATGGAACATATGTGCATCTCGATGCATTGAGTGTATTTTTCATACAGTATTGCTCCAAATGCAAGCCAGCTACTTCTTTAAGGCTCAATTTAAGAAACAGCAATTCGTTTCAACATTGGAGGAAAAACTGAGAGATGGAATGTGGGCTCCTCTCTGGTGTCTTCCTAAGGAGTTTTAAAGAGTAATTTTGACTATAGGTGATTTTCACATTATACTGACTCCTGCCTATGGTTCTCCACTGTTGTTGCTGTTAGGTTCTGTTGAGTCGATTTTCGACTCATAGAGACCCCACGTGACAGAGTAGAACTGCCCTATCACTTTTTAGGTTTGAATTTGCCAGGATAACAGTCTAGAGGTCTGGGCAAGTTCCTTCTAAGTATTATGGCTCTATAACACTTAGAACAGTGTTTCTTTCATAAACGGTGATCCATAGATCCAACCTGCTTATAAAAATGCAGATTCCTGGGAATTTGTTGAGAACCTCCTATGGGCTGGGTACTATTTTAATGCCTGCAATTCAGCAGGGAACAAAACAGATAATATATGTGTTGTGAACACCAATCCTGGTGCATACCAGAAAGATACTTTTGGTCAAAAGGATGCAAGTATCCTGACCAATACTTCACTAAAATACATGAAAAAGTTAAACTAAAAGCAAGGCTAGTGATAAATCAAAAGGTTGCATACTAATGGAAGCTGGTCAACAAAAAAAAAATTAAATGTTCTGACCATTTATATAAACTCAGTGTCCTACGTGTCTGCACTATACTCCTTAAGAAACTTAAGGTCTACTGTGAAGCTTTGATAATGAAATACTTTTGAAAGTTAATGCTTTTATGATAAAATTGGTATTGCCTAAAAACTCCTTCTTTATCATTTAGAGTGTATGGTGGTCTAGGTATAGGGAGGGAGATTATTGGGTATAGAAAACTATGCCCTTTCTCAGTGCCGCATTAATGGTTTTAGCAGCCAAAAAAGATCTCATCCAGGACAACAAGTAGGTGCAAGTAGCTCTAGTATGTTACTAAATAAATAAAAGTTGAGAAGCTCATCATTCAATTCTTACTCTGTTCAGTGTTACTGAGCTGTTGTGGGATTTTTCTTTCTCTTTCTGATTTGTAATTAGGATACATTCCACAAGGATGAGACCTCTAAGATGGCAGTGAATGCTAAAAAACTGGTACCTCTCTTATTAACCAACCCATAGTTAAAGGTCTCTTTTATTAGAAAAAGAGATTAAAAGTGATTTAGAAAATAATATTTGGAATCATTATTCCCTGACCTTGAGCATGGAGAAATGTGACCCAGCTGGGGCTGGGCCCTCATGGACTCACAAAGACACATCAACTGGGCCCTGAGATAAACAATAGATGGAACAATCTCAGAAATTATCTTAAGGAAGTTTTCACAAAAGAGCAATCAAACAGAACACAAAAGACTTCCCATTTTTTGTCTTTTTCTATTAGCATATAGTGAATAGGAATTTGTTGGACCAATGAAGACCCTCCTGACTGTCTTTCCTGAAACCCATACCAATGATTGTTAAGAAAGATGATTCAAAATGTAAGATGACAACTTCTCGCCAATCTGTGAAAAGGTGACGCTTTCAATGATTCTACCCATTTTGTGATGCTGATATATACTGATGATTCTGTCACCTTCTTCGGATTCAGGCAGACATTCTAGCTTTGGCAGTATGCTTGAGCGCTTCCCACTTTTGTCCTTTTGAATATATGCCGAATAAAACTTTCTTTTTGCTTTACTAAACTTTATGATGTTTTCCCCCTACAACAAAAGCATCTAGTAACAGTTCTGGATGCAAAGCTGACTTGAAGCTTTGAAGCTTCTACAGTCATGAGAGGTTATCTCTAAAATGGGAGAGTCAGGATGGGTTAACGCTATTCAAACCTAAGTAAAGAGCATAGTGAGTGAGACTGGTGAGAATATACTTAGATGTCTGCAATTATTTAAAATATAATTACAAACTTTTGAAAATATAATTAATAACTGCTAAATATGCATAGTTTCAAACTACAGTTTTACACTTTTTTACACGATAAATGATCAGAAGAATTCCCATAATCATGTCTAAAGAGCAATTAGGGTTTTAAACCAAATGCCACCATTTTCCTGGTAGAAACGTGCTAATTTTAGCCATAATATTTGGAAGAAATAAAGCCTTTGGAGTGATTCTGGCAAACTCAAACTTACAAAGTGAAGATAAAAGTCAAACAATATTAGATAAGGAACAATGATTTCAAGTTACTATTTTTACAAGTTTTATAGCACCATCTACACTTCGAAACATAAATGGAAGCAAATGGAATATGCCTACCAGTTCTTACCTGTACCTGCGTATTTGTCTGCCATGTTAATATCAATGTCAGATTTTAAACTCAGCATAGTCCGAAGGACATCATCACTGCCTTTCCCAGCAGCCCACATAAAGGATGTTCTTCCTTCAAGGTCTGAATCATCTTTCACTGAAGGATGCTTTAAAAACACTTTAACTGTTTCCTATAAGAAAACCTCATTTAAAATATTGAGACAAAAGAGTACCATTTTCCATGTCAACAAAGCCACAATTATATGTGACTTCCACTTAGAAGCAAAGTATTTTCTTCTTGCTTTTGAATCAAATGAAATTATCTTTTTATAAATAACAAAATAACTTCCATTGAAAATAACTATTAAATATTGAAAATAACAATCCTCTGTCCTTATATGTTAGTTTGAATTTCCACCAGGGCTTTGAACTGGTTCGTTCTAGTTCAAACCCCTGCTGATAATTTGCATTTCTAACAAGTTTCCAGAAAGTTACTGAAGAATCACCTCAGGATCTTGTTAAAATTTAGATTCTGATTCAGTATATCTGGGGTGGAAATGCAAATTCTCATTAGGGATTTGAACTGGAACGAACCAGTTTGAAGCCCTGATTTCCACAGTACTTCAAAACATAATCTAAGTCTTTCATTCAACATCTTATAATTGAGAATGATCATCCTCAATCAAGCTAAAAACCTTACAGGTCACTGCTAGAGAGATGAAGTGACACTTAAAATACTCAGAAATATTTAGTGTTATGACCAGCATTAAAATGTAGGTTTTCCTGGACATTTTACATGCAAAGACCCACATATCCAGGCATGCCTGCTGCAAAAGTACACACATCCTCTCACTGTGTGTTTTGTCACTACAATTTTAAAAAATAGTTAACGCATTTATTGAATGATGATCATTACTGAGAAATGCAGTGTTTAATTTACTTCAACAAATATGTATTCAGCAATTCCTATATTGAAGGTCCTTCCTCTATGTATTTTGTACAAAAATCAGGACCACTTGATAATTCTAACAGTGCCTGACTTAATTTTAATGGGGAATATTCACAATTTTTTTAAATTGTCTCTTTCCTCAAAGCCTCACAGACTTTTAGGAAGATAGTAGAAATTTCTGCTTAAGTAGAAGTAGAACAGTTTCAGAAAAAAACATTCTGGAGGCTGTGGCCTGGCAAAAAATGTACAAAACATTGACTCTTGATATTTTAGAGCAAGAAGAAATTCAAAGGCTTATCTAATCCAGTGCCTCATTTCACTGATTAGGAAATTTAAAGTCAATGTCACACAAACACTGGTGGCAGATATAAGATTATAACCCAGGGCTAAATCACAGCACTCTTCCCACTGCATCATACACTGCTTCCTAATTTTAAAACTATTCATTGAGTTACTAAGTATTATAACTTAGCGTCCCTGATGTGTATGTTCATTAAGTGTATTTGGATAAATAAATGAATGCTGGTAATTTTTGTGGTTTGTTTTCTTTTACTACTCTGTAAACATGTTGATTATGATTTGTTAATGATGAATGTTTGCAGGATTGGTTTTGTGTGTGTGTTTAAAAAAGAAAGTTGCAACCTCTTGTGAGTGAATAGGGTTCAAGGAGATCAAGGTGCTTGAAATTACGAACTTTGAAAAGTTACGCAATTATTAAAAATCAACTCTGGAATTGGGAGATTACCCAAAGCAAATATTTCTTTGAATAAACATCCATAAGGTTCTACCATTCTTTCTAACTCCCACTATCAGTTACTTAATTGCTCGTATCTGTACATTTGTTAATTTTGGAGTGTCAAATTGGATTCAAGAACTTAGGTAAGTCATTTATCTCTTTGAACTTCAGTTTTTTCGTGTGTAAACAGGGGATAATATGACCTACCTTATAGGCTTGTGTTGAACTATGGATTGAGTTCTGATTTCCATAGATTGACTAGGCTGGGCCAAGTGAATTTCTTATCTATTTGCAGTAAGAGAGAGATCCTTTTTAAAACACTATTTTGTATTTTTCTGAGATCTTGAAAGGTAATAGCTTACCAAAACCCTAGGTGATAAATAGAATAATTTGTTTTAGGACTGCTAAGAGCGAGCGACTCTACAATTGTTTTGGGTACCAGAAGAAAGAAGGGTAGGAAAGTAAGATATGTTAGCAATCTAAGTGTCTTTGTTACCTAGTGCTGCTATAACAGAAATACCACAAGTGGATGGCTTTAACAAAGAGAAATTTATTTCTTCACAGTAAAGTAGGCTAAAAGTCCAAATTCAGGGCATCAGCTCCAGGGGAAAGCTTTCTCTCTTGGCCTTCTCATCAATCCTCCCCCAGACTAGGAGCTTCTCTGCACAGGAAACCTGGGTCCAAAGGACGCACTCTGCTCCCAGCACTGCTTTCTTGGTGGTATGAGGTCCCCAACTCTCTGCTTGCTTCCCTTTCCTTTTATCTCTTGTAAGATAAGAGTTGGTGGAGGCCACTCGCCCGGGAAACTCCTTGTACACTGGATCAGGGATGTGACCTTAGTAAGGGTGTTACAATCCCACCCTAATCCTCTTTAGCATAAAATTACAATCACAAAATGGAGGACAACCACACAATACTGGAAATCATGGCCCAGCCAAACTGATACACACATTTTTGGGGGGATGTAATTCAATCCATGACACTAAGTATTCAATGGTACATTTGGGGAGGTCAGGAAGGAGGAATGATACTATACTGAACATATTATATATGTTATAAATTATTATAATTTAGTGAAACCTAGGGTTTTACCATGCACACTATGTAGAAGATAGCAAAATCAACTGTGACTTCTTAAATACATGGATGAGTGTCTGGTTCTTGGTAAAAAACCCATTGCTGTCGAGTCGATTCCAACTTATAGCTACCTATAGGACAGAGAAGAACTGCCCCATAGGGTTTCCAAGGCTATAATCTTTAAGTCAGGAGCCCTGGTGGTGCAGTGGTTAAGCAATCAGCTGCTAACCGAAAGGTGAGCAGCTCGAACTCACCAGCCACTCTGTGGGAGAAGGATGTGGCAATCTGCTTCCATCAGCCTTGGAAACCCTATGGGGCAGTTTTACTCCTATGAGTCGGAATCGACAGCAACCAGTTTTTAATCTTTACGAAGTGCTAACCCTTAGGTTAGCACTCTAGCGCTTAACCACTGCGTCACCAGGGCTCCTTATTGGTTCTCGGTAGTCATTCATAATCAGAAAGCTGAATTAGCCTAGACACCATCATGTTGGGTGACTGAGTGACATAACAAATGTAAAAGTGCCTTGTAAACTACAAAGGGCTATAAGGAAAGAATTATTAATAATAGTCAACATTTTTATAAATACCAATAACTCACATTTTTGCTTTCTCAGATGTGTAATATACATAATTACTAGGACTAGTAATAACAATAATACATTCTATTTCTTGAGTACTTGCTCTCTGTCAAGGCCTATACTGGGCAGTTATCATAAATTTTCTCTAATTCCTACAACAATCCTGAAGGGAAAGGTATAATTATCTATGTTTAACATATGAAGAAACTGAGACTTGGTGAGGTTAAGAAACTTGAGCAAGGTCACACAGCTAGAAAGCAGCACAGTCAGGATTCCAGCCAAGATCTGTTTAATTCCAAAGCCTTGCCTTATTGCCTTCCGGACAATTACAGATTTCTGAACACTAAAACATCCTTAGTGCTATAAAAGTAACAAAAATGAAGCACACAGCAAAGCAAAATGTTACACTGAATATTAAAATAAAAACTGCATCAAATGTCACATGACTAAGAACTCCACAATAACTCAGACGAGCCCACTTGCATCACACTCAGAGTTAACAGTAAGAACAACTGTTAACAGATAACTGCTACACAGGCACACACAAATGAGTGCACGTAAAACAGAGGAAATTTAAATAAGGTCAACTGTTAAATAATGTCAGTTTCCCATTTGTGATATAGTCCTGTAGTTTTACAAGATGTTACTATTGGGAGAAACTGTGTGAAGGGTATACAGCATCTTTCTGTATTATTTCTTACAACTTCCTGTGAATCTACAATTACATCAAAATGAAAAATTTAATTAAGAAAAAAGATACTTAACGCATTTCACTTACAGCAAAATTACTCTGAGCTGCATAGTGCAAGGGTGTTGCTCCTTGGCTGTCAGATGGAATGGTTCCAGACTTGTTTCTTTCTAAAAGGAGATGGACAATCTGTGCATGACCTGAAAGCAGATACAATTAGGTAGTTATCACATACAAAAGAAGTTAATCAACTTATAATCTATTTAAAGGAAAGGGATTAGAAAAATCACTAGCATGTAATTCATTACTCAAAATGGTTTTTGAGTAGCAGCCCCCAATGCAGCCTCTTCTAACTTCTCACTAAAATGTTATGATAACAGAACAAAGGTGAAAACTTACAGCATGAAAAACTATATGCTTCAGTCAGGAAGGAAATGACATTAATTATAATCGTGAGATTGAGAAGGAAAAAAACCTGCATTAGGTAGCAACTCATTGCATACCTTGGCTTCACTTTATAGAACTGCCTGTATCAAAGGAGGGAAGGAGTTTTAGAAGCCAGCCCCTCAGCCATCTCTCTTCCTAGTTCCAAGGTTCCACTGACCAACCAACCAGAACTGCACAGCTGTTTTCTTCTACGATTCAGGTGCTGCTCTGTAAGGCGAACAAACTATAATACAATGTTTTCTATCTCTGAGTCCTCTTATCCATTCTCTCTAGCCTCTCTCCCCCATCTTTTAACATCTAGGTGGAGACTTCAAATCCCAGAAAACAAGTGGGCAGGAATGATGAGATGGTAGTAGGGACAATACTCTGCAATGTGTTCTGGAGGACATGGCCCCCACAAGTGAAGGACTGTACAAAAGATCAAAGAATTTAAAAAACCTGGTAATGGTATATAATGAAAACTTAAATTTTACATACCTTATTGCTTCAGCAGGAGCCCTGGTGGTGCAGTGGTTAAGTGCTCAGCTGCTAACCAAAAGGTTGGTGGTTTGAACCCACCAGTCACTCCACGGGAGAGATTGGCAGTCTGCTTCCATAAAGATTTATAGCCTTGGAAAACCTGTGAGACAGTCTACTCTGTCCTATAGGGTCACTAAGAGTTGGAATCAACTTGGTTGCAAAAGGATTCTTTTGGTTTTTATTGCTTCAGCACATTGGGGAACCAGACAATGAAGAAAATGCCACATTAGCAGAGCAAGGACATACTGTGTGAAAACCAGGCAGAAAAAAAGAACTTGCATGGGAGTTAGCTCATCTACCCGCTCTCCAGCTGTGATACGGGATGGAGTTCTCCATAACACAAACGGATAAAGGCAGTATCAAAGACAATCTATGCCAGATAGTTAATATAAACACATCTCATCGTGTTTGAGGAATAATGAGAAAAATCAGTACAGGCTACATGAAAACATACTATATGACAAGGAAAATGAGACAGCACCAGAAAGATGAAGAGGAAAAGCATACCTCTAAAAATTATCTACAGAAAGATCTAGAAGAAAATTCCAGGAAACTGTTTGGCATCCTCAACTTGGTGTAAAAAGAGATGGCCTCTATGAAAGAGAAACAGAATGTCCTAAGAAGATGACAGGCTGAAATGAAAGTGTAATGGAAGGTAGTAAAAGTGAAATGAGACAAAATAAATATGGATAAGAGAAGACCTCTAAACACAATCTACATAACAGGTAGAAAGAAAGCAGAATTTCCGGACCAAAAAGTCAATTTAGTGATGTGTAGATAAATTTGAGAAGCTCTCCCAGAATACAGAGGAAAAGGAAAAAGGGATGAAGCTGCACACTGAAATGAAGTCTAAATAATAATTATAAATCTGATTATGAAACTGAAAGCAAATGTGAAAATCATTTTCAAAAGGGATAATGTATAACTTAAAACTAAGACTAATGAAGTAATTAGGGGAAGTCTCAGATCATGTTGCTGTTGTTGTTAGTTGCCATCTAGTTGATTCTAACTCATGGCGACCCCACATGCACAGAGCAGAGTAAACTACTCCACAGGGTTTTTTTTCAAGGCAGTTATCCTTCTGAAGCAGACTGCCAGGCCTGTCTTCCAAGGAGCTGGGCGGGGGGGGTGGGTTCAAACCTTCAACCTTTCTGCTAGTAGTGGAGTGCTTAACCATTTGAGCCACCCAGGGACTTCTAGATTATATTAACAAACAGTAAAGGCGTGATGAGTAAAAGTGTGTTAAATTTCTTCCCTTAAGTAGGTGGGAATCAGTAGGTTCAGTTTGCTCTTGACTCTGGCTCAGGTTTAAGAAAGTTTTTGATAAATTTGAAACTAGCCACTAATAAAATTTAAACATCCTTTTAACATTAAGTAATCAAAACAACAAACACAGTCCATATAACAAGAGGCAGAAAACAAAGGAAACGGAAAAACAAACAAACCAAAAAATTAATAATCCCAAAGAACAGAATAACAAAAAGAGAGACCAAATCATATTACATTATAACAATGACTATTAATATTAGGTAAAACTCCTTCACTAAAAGAGAAAGACTCTCAGATTGGGCTCTTCCCCTAAAGAAAATCAGACACATACAGATACATACAATCAATCATCTAAAAAAGTGACCAAGAAAGGTTAAGTAAAATGCATACAAGAAAATATGAAGAAAAAGAAATCAAATATCATGGTATTACCACAAATATAAAATTAAAGTCTCATCTCCCAAAAAATAAAGGCATTGAATGTGAAAAGAGATTATTTTACATTCACATTTTGTTAATGAGTATGCATTGATTTTATAATAAAAATTAAAAGTTACGGCATGATGGTGAAAGTAAAACTATAATAGAGGATAAATTTATATTACTAAAATTTAAGCATACTATAGAGGGATTTAGGTATAAAATAATTCCACATATTAATTAGACATTAAAGCAATTAATTAGGAGGTAGGAGGCAATAAAAACCCAACCCACTGCCATCGAGTCAACTGTCTCATAGCAACCCTATAGAACAGAGTAGAACTGCTCTGTAGGGTTTCCAAGGAGCGCCTGGTGTATTCGAACTGCCGACCTCCTGTTTAGCAGTCAAACTCTTTAACCACTATGCTATCAGGAGGCAATAGCGAAGAGAAAGTAGAGAAACTTTCATATACCCATGCACTTTCTCCTACTGTTGATCCTAGATTCATATTCAACTCACCTAGTAAAGCTGCCCAGTGAAGTGGGGTTCTAAATAAGTTATCATAAGATGTTATATTGCAGCTTTCATAGGAGGTCAAGACATCAACCACTGTCACATTCCCATCAGCAACTGCAAAGTGAAGAGGTGTTCGCCCCTCATAGTCTTGCCAGTTCAGTAAAGACTCCGTAGGAGCAGCATCCTATTTTTAAGGAACCAGAGACTTCAGACACACATGGAATCCTCAATAAATCACATTTGACAAAAGTATAAATGAAACAATTTTCTAAATAAAACCTCTATATTCTTTCTCTGTACAAGCAAAAAATGAAAAATATAATCACTAAAATAAAGACTCAATGAATAGAATAAATAACAGGTTCGAATCAGCTGAAGAAAGAATTAATAAACTGAAAGACAGATCTAAAGTGATTACTCAGAATTTAGCAGAGAGAAACAGCAGATGGAGATATAAAAGAGAAATTAAGAGGCATGGAGGATAAAATGCATAATTGGAGACCTTAAAGGAAACAGCAGAAAGAATGAGGGAGAAGGCAATATTTAAAGAGATAACAGTTATACATTTTCCAGAACTGAGATACGATAATCAGAATATATAACAAATAACAAATAGGATTTAAAAAAAAAAAAAAAAAAACCCACACACATACCTAGATATACTGTAGTAAAATTGTAGAATGTCAAAAAAAGAGAAGACTTTTAAAGTAGCCAGAGAGAAAAGATATATGATTTTTAAAGGGCTAACAATTAGACTCCTCAAGAGCAACAAAGAAAGCAGCAGGCTTTTCAAGAGCAAGGTTGAAATAACAGACATTTTTACCAAGGAAAAACAGAGTTTACCATCAACAGACGTACTCTAAAGGAAGTTCTAAGGAATATATTTCAGGAGGTAAGATAATAACCCTAGAAGAAAAATTTGAAATTCAAGAAGGAATGCAGAGTAAAGAAATTAGTTAGCATGTAAGTAAAATTAATCATTCTATAAACAAAATAATATTTTAAAAGTCTAATTTGTATGTTAAAAGTAAATAGAACTAAATAGTCCATGTAAGTTGGAAGTTGGGAAGGAGTGATTAGAAAACTTCAACAAATCTGATAAATATTAAGAAATTCTAAGAGAGTTTAGCAACTTGCTTAGATATACAATCAATACACATAAACATCAACTGCATTTCTACACACCTACAGCAACCAGTTAAATAAACACTCTAATCCCATTGCCATCGAGTCGATTCCGACCCGTAGAGACCCTATAGGACAGAGTAGAACTGCCCAACAGGGTTTCCAAGGCTGTAAATCTTCACGGAAGCAGACTGCCACATCTTACTCCCATGTAGCGGCTGGTTGGTTCGAACCATTGATCTTTCAGTTAACCACTGTGCCACCAAGTCTCCTGAATACATACCCTAGATATGTTAAAAAAATGTTCAAAGCAACTGTTTGTAACAGCAAAAAAAAAAATGGAAACAGTCTAAATGTTTATCAATAACAGAATGAATAATGTGTGATTTATTCATAAACTGGAATGCTATATAGCACTAAAAATTAATATATTACACCTATACATAGCAACATAGATAAAATCACTAGCATAATGTTTAACAAGAAAAGCAAGCTGCAAAAAATACATACAATATAATTCCATTTATATAAAGTAAAAAAACCTTAAAGACTAAACAGTATCTTGATTAGAGATACAAGTATATGTGGTAAAACTATAAAAAAAATTGGTGGAATGATAAACACAAAATTGAAGATAGTGGTTGTTATGGGTTGAATTGTGTCCCCCCAAAATATGTGTCAACTTGGCTAGTCCAGGCTCCCAGTATTGTGTGACTGTCCATCATTTTATCATCTGATGTGATTTTCCTGTGTCTTATAAATCCTACCTTATGATGTTAATCAGGTGAGATTAGCAGCAGTTATGTTAATGAGGCAGGACTTAATCTACAAGATTAGGTTGTGTTTTAAATCAATCTCTTTTGAGGTATAAAACAGATGTGAGCAGAGAGACAGGGGGACCTCATACCACCAAGAAACAAGGGCCAGGAGAATAGTGCATCCTTTGGACGATGTGTGCCAGTGCTGAGAAGCTCCTTAACTGGGGAAGACTGACGACAAAGACCTTCCCCCAAGAGCCGACAGAGAGAGAAAGCCTTCCCCTGGAGCTGGCACACTGAATTAGGACTTCTAGTCTCCTAGACCGTGAAAGAATAAATTTCTGTTTGTTAAAGCCATCCACTTGTGGTATTTTGGTTATAGCAGCACTAGATAATTAAGAGAGTGGTTGCCTCTGAGACAGGAGGAAATAGAATTAATATTGGGAGGTACCACACTCAGGGGACTTCAAAGGTAAGGGTACTTTAACTTGGTGGTGAGTACACGAGTGTTTGTTGTTTCCTTATTCTTTATATCTTACATGTATTTTACAAATATTCACTTGCATCTACTCACCATTTAATAATAAAAAAACTATAAAATGAAGTCAGGGAATGATAATTTAAATTCAGGATAGTAACTGATGGAAGACAGGAATGGGTATGGCATACAGGGAGAAAGTGCATTTGAAAATTATCACATAAACAATTTCCATAAGGTCTTAAACAGTGGTATTAAAAATGTTCTATTTCTTGGGTAACAGGTTTACATGTTTGTTGTATTCTTTTGCTTCATAATTTGCATGTATGTCATATATATGTTTTTGTATATATTGGATATTTCATAATAAAAATATTTTTTAAAAAGACCATATAGGTATAACAGCACCATTGGACTCACCAGAATGCATCTCACTGTATGAACAGCACTGGGATCTTTATGGTTGGCTGCCCAGTGAAGTGGAATCTTGCCTTCAACATCAGGAATCCCAATGTTGGAATCATGCTTGATAAGCAGCTTTACATGTTCAGGGTTATTGTAGTAGGCACTCCAATGCAGAGCTGTTTGCTGCAAAATTGGGAAGTTCTCAAAAAATAACAACAGTAACAAGTAACATTTCTTAAACTTTGATTGTGGGACAGCCACTGTTGTTTAAGAGTTTTATATATTCTTTCTCATGTAGTAATCATGGCTCTCTGGGAGATAAGTAATCTTAATTTGCATGTAACTGGTGAGGAAACTAAGGCACAAAGAGGAAAAGTAACCTGCCCAAGGACATAAGGTAGTAAGTGGCCAGATTGAGATTTGAATCCAGGCAGTCTGACTCCAGAATCTGACTTCCTAATCATGACAGGCATTTAGGTCATCAGATACTAATAAGTGATAATACTGAGAAAGAGAAAAGCAGCCCATAATTTATAAACAATAATCAAGAAAGTAAGTGATGAGCACTCCTGATTACCATCAAGCACCTTAAGAATTTGATAGAATATTTTGAATTTTAATATCTATAAAAAAGAAGAGGATCTGGAGTCCATTTCTTATATTAAAAGGTAAATTTGAATTTAACTATAATTTTACGGGATAGCTTGTTAGACCTGGCAACTGATGAAAAGATACATTTTGAAAATACAACAGCACTTGCTTTATTTTTGATAAAGTGAAAAAATGAACATCCTAAACTTGCTGAAGTCGTTTTAAAATCTCTTCTTCCATTCTCATCAATATACCTCTATAGGACTGGTTTCCCTAATAGGAGAGTTATTAAGAAAAAATAAAGAAACTGTTTAGATATATGTTACCCCTCACAAGCAGCACTGTAATCAATCCAATCTAGAATTAGATAATTTAATAAGCAGGAAGCAAACTCATTTTTCACATTAAAAACTTTCAATATTGATATATGTGGTATTTATTTAAAGTGTGCCTAAAGGCAATTTATATGAAGATTCACTAACTCATTACTTTTTCTTTCATTCAAAAATTTTATATACAAATTGTTCTGTGATTAGCTGCAGTCCCTGCAATGTGCCAGCACTCTTTCCATTTCCCTGTCCACCCTGGGTTCTCAGTGTCCATTCATCTAGTTTTCCTGTCCTTTCCTGTTTTCTCATCTTTGCTTTTGGGCAGGTGTTACCCATTTGGTCTCCCATATTTGATTGAACTAAGAAGCACATTCCTCACTTGTATTATTGTTGGTTTTACAGGCTTGTCCAATCTTTGGCTGAAAGGTGGACTTCGGGAGCGGCTTCAGTTCTGAGTTAGCAGGGTGTCAGGGGCCATAGTCTTGGAGGTTCCTCTAGTCTTTGTCAGACCAGTAAGTCTGGTCTTTTTTTGTGAATTTGAATTTTGTTCTACATTCTTCTCCTGCTCTGCTTGGGACCCTCTACTGTGTGATCCCTGTCTGTGCAGTCGATGGTGGCAGCCCAGCTCTATCTAGTTCTTCTGGGCTCAGGCCGGTGGAGGCTGTGGTTCATGTGGTCCATTAGTCCTTTGGACTAATATTTTCCTTGTGTCTTTGGTTTTCTTCATCATTCCTTGCTCCAAACGTGCTGGGACCAACAGATGTATCTTAGATGGCTGCTCACAAGCTTTTAAGACCCCAGATGCTACTCACTGAAGTAGGATGTAGAACATTTTCTTTATGAATTGTTTCATCAGTTGACCTAGATGTCCCCTAATAACTCATTATTTTTGTTTATTTACAACTGCAGAACAAAAAATGTCACAAGTAAAATAGCAATTATCAATGGTATATAAGCACATTTTCTAGAAACAACATATGCATTTTCTGTAATTCTTTTCTTATGTTTGTTTTGATTAAATTTACTGAAATTCATTTTACGTCTGTTAAATTTAATAGTCAAAAGTTTGGGCTTGTATTTTCTGTATCTTTGTTTTTTATTTTATTTTTTAGTAATTCATTCTTTATTTTTTTTTATAGTACTTCAGGTGAAGGCTTACAGAACAAATAGTTTCTCAT